GGGACTTGGTATTAATAAGATATGTAGGGTCTATGGAGTTTAGATTTTTGGATAGATTGAAGTAGGATGGGTTTGAGAGATGTGATGATTATTATTACCTAAAAATGGATTCTCTTAGGTAGTGGTTGGAGGAGGAGAACACTTGCTAGAGATGAGGCATTGATAAGAGGAGGATGAAGGGCAGAGGGTTGAGACAAGGTCATAAGAAGGGGATGATCATTATTTTTTGCAGGACTTAAGACTAAAGATACATCTCCCAAGCGAGAAGGGTTGAGTATTATGTTTTATTAGGGTTTGAATTATTGGGAAAAGGTTAGAGGGATTTGTAAAAGCACCACATTAAACAAATTTCATAGATTTCTAATCAAACAATTTTAAAAGACTGATAAGAACCGCCTAGACTAATAGTGACTTCTTTTGGTAATTGGAGGATTAATATAGTTGAGTGATGGTGGTGCGACCTTTGCGGTCGAGCAATGCTTCGATGAAAATGGTTGGTTGGTGTTTTGATGGCGATGGTTAAGTGGTTGTTGAACGGCAGTTTTTAGAAGATGTTCTGATGGTGGTGGTCGAGTGGTGTCCCGATAATGTGGGTTAGGCAGTTGTATGAAGGTAGTGGTTGGGTGATGGCTTGATGGCAGCAATCAGGTGATATTTAGATGACAATGCTCAAATGGTGGCCTTGCAGTAGTGCTCAAGTGGAGCTTCAAAATTCTTAAAGCCTACAGGCTCTCTTAAATCTCAAGTCAATGTTTACGGTACAAGTCCTTCATCATCAAGAGAGTTAGAGCTTATTTATATATATTTTTTAATGGCATGCTATGTAAATATAGTGAAAATTTGGAACACTCCATCAAATAGCCTATATTAATTTATCTGATTGAGACATTCAATTCAACTAAAAATTTGCTGAAATTAGAGTTTTGATGATCCTAATTTAATATTAAAAGTATTTTAATTCAAATATGCATCGAGATTCGTATGTGATCAAAGCAATTTTCAATGAGATATCAATTATATTTATGTCTAAGTAAATTTACTGATTGTGAGACTATGAGTTTGGCAATATATCATTGGTAAAAAATTTTCTTAAGCTATGATAATGAAAAGCTACTGACGCTTTTTTTAACTAAAATAACATTAATTAATTTCGAAGCTTACAGGTCTTAAAAAAAAACCAATAAGCACTAATTAATCATAAATATTGATTTTGACAGCCATAATGAATAAGGCAAAATTAATAAAATTTTTGAAAGATAATATCTTGATAGTTTATTTTATCAAAATAAAGTGCAATTCAAATGTTGATTGATTCTTTAAATTACATCTATTTTAATTAGTTTTTAATATCAAACAACAACAATATAAGTCTTTATTCACTACAGAAAATCTATTCATTACTGGTGTTTTTTTCAGTGAATTTTTGTCACTAATTTATGAACATAAAAAATTTCGAACTGATTTTTTATCTGAAATGTTATTTAATTTCCGATGGAGAAATCTATAAAAAATTCAGCCAGAAAAGACCCTATTTCTTCTTGAGACCACGTCTCTCTCCCATTTCACGTTCTCTCCTCTCTTGAACACTTCTCTTAGCCTCTCCATCACCCTTCATTGTTCAATGTAATTTCTAGACCGTTTAACTTCATTTCATCAAGATTTGAAAAAGTAAAACTTCATCTCTTTAATCTCTTTAAATTTTACTTTTTTTTTTAAGATTTCATCCCTCCCCTCGCCAGGATAACTTGAAAATAATATTTATGGAAAGTATTGCTAATAAATATAAAATTGAAATACATGGCTTCTAATATTCTCATAGATATTATTACTATTATTTTAATATGTTTCTTCTCAATTGAGGTCTTATTGGTCTCCTTCTCCTTTGATGTCTTCTCAACCTTTGGTACCATTTTGTTTTCCATACAATAAGAGAGTGTAAAAAGAGTGCAATTTATCTTTATAAGTTCAAATTAAGGTTTTTAAAAATACGGGCTGATGTGCATACCTTTATATCTTGAAGAATTGCTTGCAATTTACCCTTTAAAATTTTTAAAACTTATGCTTTATGTTAATCCCAACCGATGAGTGTAATATTAGCTAGGGGTGTCAATATTTGACACGACACGAAAATCCGACCCGGAATTTTCAGGTTAGACCTGACCCGTTTCCAAAACGGGTCGGGTTCGGGTTCGCAGATTCGATCCGTTCAAAAAACGGATCGGGTTCGGGTTGACCCGATGGGTTGTCGGGTCAACCCGGAAAACATGTTTAAAATGACTGCCCGGCTGCCCACCCGAAATTGACACCCCTAATATTAGCCACATTGGTATAATTTAAGGTTCAGTGTTTTGCATACACTAAGGCTTATTGTGGCAACAGTATGAAGATCAAGAAAGGAGATTTTGTTGGAGTATAACTTAATTTGGCCAACATATTTTGGTCCAATCTTGGTTGGAGATTAGATCAGTTGGTGATGGCAAATCTAATCATGCATTTTATAAAAAATCACATTAGCATTGATATGATAAATATGACTGTCATAATTTTTTTTTTTTTTATAGTTTTGACTGCAGGTTATATCCATCAGAAAATCCTTCGCTCCTGGAATTCCAACAATTTTTTGTTCTCCGGTTAAAATGGCAATTTTCCTAAAATCCGTCAGAAAAAATTTTGACAAAAAATATTCATTGGAGATAATTTTTCCACGTGCGTTTTATTGGCGAAAATAATTTCGTTGGAATTTTGCCGAAAATTACAATTTCTGAGAGAAAATGCAAGATTTTCAGTTGAAAATTAATCCATAAATTGCTAATTTCCATGTGGTGATCCATTGTGTGGGATGGCAAATTCTCATTTAAATTTAATAAAAAAAGTTATTTCTAATATTTTCTAACCAAGGCTTTTTATGTATACCTCTAACTTTCTTAAAATAAGTCAATTCTAATACATCTACTCTCATAATCGGATCATTGAGATTCAAAACATCTCAGGCGACTCTCCAATCTTATATCCCACTGGAGCTACTCCAACATTTTCACGTATATGCATTCTATCTCTAAGAGTAAAGCCACTGATCTACCTAAACATCCTTATCTCTGCAACACTTAACTTAATTGTATGCTTTTCTTTTGATGGCCAAAATTTTGTGTCATAAGTCATTGTAGGTCTCACCACCATCTTATAGAATACTCCCTTAAGTTTGATGGGACATATTTCTATCACAGAATAAGCCCAATGCATTCCTCCACTTCAATGATCCATTTTGAATTTTACTAAAAACATCTTCATTTATTTCACTTTCACTTTGAATAATATATTCAAGATATCTAAAACGTATATTCTTATTAATAACTTGATCATCCAAAGTCACAATCCCTCCACCATCACAGTTAATTTTGATACCAATATCATTCAAAATACTTTCAACAAAACATTTTTATATAAATATTAAAAATTATAATCTTCAAACTAACTAATAATAGTTCATTTTCCAGGTTGACAAGCATTGAGCAATAGAGCGCTATGCATGACCAAGGTAATGAATTTGATACTTACAGAGTAACCTGCTTCATGTTTATAGGTTCTCAGATTGAGATGGATCCCAAGAAGCTTAATTTGGGTCAGGTTCGGGTCAACCCGACCTGAAAATCGGAAAAATGACCCAAAATGACCCGTTGACCTCATCTACTGCCCGCCGAGTCTACCCTCGGGTATGCCCGTGCTGCCCCCTCACGAATCACCAGGGTTGTCGTTAGCCTTGTGTCCTTGTCTATCGCCGATACTGTTGGTGGCGTTGCTGAGTCATTCTCACTGTTGTTGTCGTTTTCGTCTCAGCGGGTCGGATCGGGTCAACCCGGTAATCTGACGGGTTGGGTCCAGGTTTGAACTTTTGACTTGTTTACATTCCCGGGTTGGGTTAGGGTCAAACCGTTTGAACCCTTGTCTGTTACGAGTTCAACCTGAACCCAACCCATAACCCAATTTTGACATCTCTAGCTATGCACTCCAAGATACTCGGATCAATGCACAAGAAGCACCAAGAAATGTGTGATAAGAGTAAAATTTCATAAATTAAAGACAATATTTACTCAGCATGTAATAGCCTCTATCATTTGAGATAGCTTATAACCACTTATTTTTTATTGTTTTTAAAAAATTTTGATGCTAAAAATTTACAATAAAAAAGTTGTCATAAATGAAGCCTTAAAAAACAGTAATCTTAGCCTTAGCCACATCATTGAGTTCACCCTTCTTTCAAAGTTTAGGGATCGTAGAAGATCCTGAAGCGAACGAATAATGACAATGATGGTCGTCATCGGTGTTGGCGGTAAAAAAAAATAATTTATTTATAAAATGCAAAAATAAATATATATCAAATATATATTTTAAAAAATAGAAAATAAAAAAAGTCAGTGATCTCCAATCGGCCTTACTTAATTAGTTCGCCATATTTATTAACGCTTGAAGAAGCCTGCGATAGTCGACGCCGGACAGTTGATTTTGTCCTGGACGCTTGAAGAAAAAGATAACGAAGAATTTTACGTTTGTCCTTCTCTTCATTGTTGCCAAAAACTTATGCTAATAATTTTTCCAAAGACTTCAAGCAATCAACAACCAGTAACGAAAATAATCTATTCAATAATAAATACTTGAAGACTGTAGCTGGAAAGTTATAGATGGATGAGAGACCAACATAATTGCAATTCAGGCTGCTTCTACTACTCTTTTTAGCCGGTTCTTAGCGCTTTTTTTTTTTTTTTACAACAAAATAATTTTATTCATTTTTTTTTTTTACAACAAAATAATTCTATTCATAATCACAAATCCAAGGATACAACCATTACAAATGTAAGCAAAAGAAAAACCATAGAAAACAAACTGACAAAAAATACAAGCTAAGAAAACGGCTCAGAGAACAGTCAAGGCTCCCAGCATCCCGTCAACCCGCACAGACCGTCCAGTCAGTGAAGAGCAAAACCCAAAAAGCCAACCCGAAACCCTCACCAACGGTTGCCACCAACAAAGATGACCGGGACGCGAGCCCCGACCACATCATTGCCCATAGCCTCAAAAACCTGCCATTCCAACAATAAAACCAACAAAAACCGAGCAACAGCAAGAAGATCAACAAAACTAACTGAAAGCTCATCGCCTACGACGGCCCCTCCCCCAAAATTTTTCCCGAGTGGCAACATTTTTATTACACACAAGCGCAAAATCATTGTCAGAATCATTAAACTCAGACTCCGATTCAATATCCGACGAATCAATCAGTCAATCTCCCTGTTTTCTAATCGTCAAACCAGATGAATTACCCATACAGGTAGCCATCTCTTGAACATCCACCTCATTGACTTGCACCACAACCAAATTGTTGGTAGAAGAAAGCCCTTCCACACTAACCATATGCGTAGACTCGTCCACAATCCCGACAGAAACAACAGGTACCTCACCATCAGTACCACTTTCCAAATTCTTTGACACCTGCAAACCGCCATTATCAACCACAACACCCATAATAGGTGAAACCTCAGAACTCGCAACAGGTACCGAGTCATCCAACACCCTAACAGCCGCCGGAGGTTCCAAATTAAAAGCCGCAAGATCAGAAACATTCAACAAACCCAAAAGAAAAAAAGGGGAAGCTTTATGCGACAGAACACAATCACCAGCATCAACCGGCAAATTACCACCATCACTAGCCAACAACGGGCAAATACTAACACCCACCGTATTACCCAAATTAACCGGGACAATCCCAGCAGCCGGTTAATCGCCCAAAGGCTCCACAGTGACCAAATCCACCCCAGCCATCTCAGAATTAACAATAACATTAGCCACATTTTCCAGCACTGAGGAAACATCCAAACCGTCATTTAACACACCAACATCCGGTAAAATCTCAACTGGATCATTCGCAATAGCAGGTTTACCAAACATAGTATCAGATTTGCACTTACCAGACACATGCCCTAAACATTTACAAACACTACAAAAATGAGGAAATTCATCAAAAACCACATCCTGAACATACCCTAGAGCCTCAGATCCTAACCAAACTTGCTTCGTATAAGTTTTGGTAATATCAATTTCAACTAAAACACGGGCATTGGACGGACGTGAACCAACCGAGGTAGCTTCATCTATTTTTAAAGGTTTGCCAAATAACTCACCAAGCCCAAACAGAATCCTTGGCACAAAGAAATGAGGACGAAGATGAGGAAAGGAAATCCAAATCGGGATGATCGGCGACTCAACTCCGATATCTAAAGTAGGAGACCATTTCGTTAGTTTCATAAAACAATTGAAAACCAGGTAGGATCGGTGGCCAAAAACCCTACAATAGTCTAAATCATTGGACAACTTAATCAAAATGTGTGTATAATCCAAAACGGTAACAGAAACTTCTCTGTTTAGCTTCAAATTAAAGAAAAAATTGCGAATCGCGTCAAGAGGGGGACGCTTCGACGGGAATAAACCTACTAATGAAAAACGAAAAGGCACAGCCAAATCCCTGATTTCCTCATCAGAAACCCAAAGAGATGGTAGACCACGAAAGGTAGAAGGCCTCAAATCTGGAAAAGAGGAAGACGATCCAGCTAGAGTTTGAAGAAAAGACTTAGAGTGAGAGATCCCAAAAAAAAAAATCGGGATCTTTCAATTTGATCGGAGGCATACCGGTAAAACCGGAAGAAAATAAAAACAAAAAACCACCAGTAACACAAAAAAGAGATGAGAACGCTTTCATGAAGGAAAAGACCGGAAACCCCCGCCGGCGGGGGCCAAAAAGTCCAAGCACTGCGGAACCCTAGCCGCCAGAGGAGAAGCGCACGATGCGTCCTTATAAATTTTAATTAGCTCTGTTGTATTTCCATATATGATTGAATGCTTTTGTAATTTTTGCTCTAACGATAGTTGCTATATTATATAGCATTGTAAGACAAATTATGGGGCTGTTTGGCATTGGATATTGATTTTTTTTTTTTATCATTGGATATTGATTTATTTGTTGAACTTCTAAAAATTTATATCTATTATAGTTGTGTAAGCTTTACTATTTTACATGGATTATTGTATATTACATTATTGAGAGGAGTTATATGAATAAACTTGTTGTTGTAGATTATGTGCAATAGGAAATATTATATGTGAAAAAAAAAAAAAAATTCATTCATATGTTCATCACATGGTCATACAATATTTTTTCTATAATACCACATTCAAATTGCATAAATAAAGTGGCAACAATATGGTTGGTGAATCTACTAGCTATTGTCAAAATTTTTTCATAATATACATTTCGTCATATCTTGCAAAAGAATTCATAGGGAAATGATAAGGCATGGCATCACAACAGATTTGTGGAATGCTCGGGTGAGCATTTATCTTTGCATTTTAAATATTCCAGGTTTTAATATATTTTGTAGTAATTTAATGATTTTTTGATAATGATCGTTATGATGGAGTTACTCTCCAATGCAACATATATCAACTTTTCTGTCATATTGAAGTGTACTATCAAATAGTTGTCTATCGATGTCTAAAAAAATATTATGCTATCATAGTATCATGTACTCTTTCTGCATGTACTAATTTCTATTGTATGAGCTCATATTGAATTTATTATGTGGTGTGGAATTATCTTGAATTTATAATAAACATATTGAACGCTGTTTCTTTATATTTAAATCTTTTGCCAAATAATTTATTAGAATTTAACATTTGTCATACCAAATAATATTCAGAATTTAAAAATCTCAAAATTTATTAAATTCAAATTTACAGTATTTATTAATTCCCAGTAAAGTTAAATACAATACAATACCAAACAGCTCCTACATAACCACAAGCCTGCATCCATGTATCATATCCTACATATTACCTGCTAGTCCTCCAAGCTTGCGCTGCTGCTACCCATTTGCATCGTGGACGTATCTTCGACCGCAACGCTACCTCTGTCATCTCTCCGCCGAGACAAACAAACCCTAGAAATTCCGGTCCTCGTCCGAGGACAGTGAGCGAAGCATCGCTACCTAGGGTTCTACTGTTCGGTTCATGCGATAGCAGAAGGGGGAGATGATTTTTTCGAGGCTCGGCCGTTCCATCTTGCGATCCGGCGGGTGTTCCAGATTAGGAAAGGTAATCATTTTCTAGTTTGGTTGTGCTTCCTCCTTCATATGTTTGATTTGTGTTTATTTTGACTTCATGGCTCGTCTTCGTTGAATCTTATTCAGGGTGGTGATCTTTTGATACGGTGTGACGGGAAATTTGTGTCTTATACGACTGAGGCGACTCTTGGACCGCTTTCTGGTTTGAGGGGCTATCTAACTTCAGTTGGAGGGAGAGGGGGGAAGGCTCTTCAGGAAAAGAGCCCCCGTGGTGACTGGAGATTTTTGCTTGGGCATCCTAGTTTCAGAAGGTTGTTTTCCAGCGAGTCCAAGGATAAAAAGAGTAAGGGATCACGTTGAGAACTTATTTTTAGGATTTAACTTGAATTAAACAAAAAAAGGATCACGTTGAGAACTCGAGGTGTTTAAACAAAAGATTTTTCCTTGAATTTACTTTACGTTGACAATAATTCCTTTTGTAGACTATGAGAACTACTACCCTAAAGAGCAGAAGGAAATTCCGAAAGGCAATGAGAATGAAAAATCTGATACTAAAGGTATGTGGCTGTTTTCATCAAAATGTTTTTTCTAGTTGAATATGTGTGGATCCCAGGGAACATTTACTTCAAATGAATAAGTATTTCGAGATTTTACATGTGGATCTATTTTTGGTTACCATGTATTGAGCCTGTATAGAGCCTCTGCTTACTCTTATATTTTTATCTTTTATATTGTACATATAGGAGCTGGAAAAAAAAACTGGTTTTATTATTTTACTAATTCACAATTTAATATTAGCGGAATTGAATATCATTAGCTTGTAGAGAAGGAATTTATCTTGATTGTTCACATGATAGAACTCTAAGCGTTATCTGCAAAATGCTTCATCTTTTTATGATCTATTTATTTTTCACAGAAGTTAATTCTGTTAGATCACAATCACTACTCCCTTTTTATCGCATGAAGCATGTTTAGTTGGGGGCAACCATTCATATATTTGCCCCTTATCTGTTTTATATCATAGAGGGGTTCTGAACTGAAGAAACATGATTGCTTTGAAAAACTACTCATCTAATACATAATCTAAAATGAAGTGTAATATTTCTGAGAAGTTTAACTTTGATGTTTTTATATTTTCCATCATAATCATGCTAGAAGTGTTTTTAGATTGTCTCAAGTGGCAAAGATCAAAATATCAGACACTTCACACTTTAGTGTTCTCTTTCTCTTTTTCAAATAAACTTGGAATGATCCATTTTCGCATAGTTAGTTTTCAATTTGAACATATTTCTACATCAGGTTCATCTTCATTTGACTAGTTTCTAAATTGTCAGTTCGTGCTTTAACTAGATTATGTTTTTACGCAATTGATTTTGTTAATTTGACAATTCAAATGATTAATTTTTCAAAGTAGTCAAAATTTCCATCCCTTTCACAGTTTGATAAATTGCCTGGATAACTTGCCAGACATCCATGTGATATGTCATGACAATTTATGATCTTATACCAATTTGATAGAAATCTGTTTAGGTTTAGGGTTTTTTAAGGCTACTAAATTGATGCAATATATATAGATCATGGATGGACATAGAAGTCATAGCTCATAGACCACTAAATATACAAAAGCTGGCTTTCTTAGATGCAAATCAATAAACATTAGAATTAGAACCTGAACAATATTGCAAAGATGCAAAGATCAAATAAATTTAAAAAATCAACGAGCAATTGTAAGTTATTTACCATAATTTAAATCTTAATTGTATCAAATTTGGACAAAATTAAGAAAATCATAAGCCTTTTTAACTTAAATATAGTCCAATGCATGTTATGTAAACAGTCCCTTTTCCAGAATTTGCAATGGAATATTCCAGATTATTTAGGGAAATACAAGTTGTCTCACTTGTTTTATTGACCGACATAATTTCTTTAATAGCACATTTTGGCTGATTCCTCAATTAATAGATTCCTATCCAGTGTTTGATTTCCTATGTGGATATTAATATGATGAGGACATCGATCCAAGGTTCAAACATGTGTATCGCCGGAAGCATTGCAGATCGATGGCCACGATTCAGAGCTTATATTTCTATTTGTTTATGCATTTTATTTTTATGTTTTCCTATTGTACCCTTATGTTGAGTTGAGTCATGTTGGGGCCCTGAGGGCAATTTAGTCTTTATTTCTTCTTGTATGCTTGAGACCTATATATATGGGTCTTTTCTCTTGTAATAGCTAATGAATATTTGGAATGAAAATTTGTTTTGTCATCTTCTTCTTCTTCTTGTGGTGCACTAGAGAGGAGAACGAGAGCCCAAGGTGAGGGCGAAAAGCAATACCCACCAGTCATTGGAAGAGTCCGTGACTCGTGGTCTATCCCCATCATCCCAATCCCCTTCCTCTCCCCAACCCGCCGGCCCTAGTCCCCTCTTGGCCGCCGGCCACCCCACCACCACCACCACCACCCGTCAGGAGGTCTCCCAACCGTCGGCCACCTCCCCCATTCCCCACGTGTTCCAATTTTGAAAATTCAATTTTTGAATTTCGAAAACTTTCCAATTTTGGAAATTCCAAATTAGGAAAGTTTTTAAATCCGTTTCATGATGAAATTCAAATTCAAACGGATTTTATTCTAATCCTTCCTAAACCTCATGAGCCGATTTGGAAACTATTTACTTGCTCCCACACCAAATCCCTCCCTCTAGAAGCTGCCGGCCACCATGGATGGATCCTCATTCATGTCACCATTTAATGCATTGATGACCCATGAATTTGAAATTAATTTCAAATGAATTTCCCCCCCTATTTCTCCCAAAACCTGAAATTAATTTCAGGTTTTAACATAACTTCCTCCCCTCTCTCTCTCATACCGCCGGCCCCCCTTAATGGGCTCCCATTATTTGCCATTAACTTCCCTTAACTCCTTTCAAATTTGAATTAATTTCAATTTGAATTTTCCCTCTAAATCCACTTAATCCTGAAATTAATTTCAGATTTTGGGATTAAACCTATTGCCATTGGATCTCTCTTGGAAACCGCCGGCTCCTCTTCCTCCTGCTCCTGCCGCCCCCTCATCTTGCTTCTCCTTGTGATCTGTGAAGTCAAAGAAGAAGAAGACTACGCCGCCCTTCTCCGCGTAAATGACGCATGGCGGATCCTGAGCTTGATAGCGGATTCGTGTACGACATCTATGGCGACATTCACATCACCCGTTCGCAGTTCTTCGACGTTGGATTTGGATTTGACGATACTATTGAGGACTATCTAAATCGCATCTTGCCTACTCTCGTGGACGTCATAGACGACTAATTTCAAGACTACGATTGGATCCTCCAAGGCCATCCATCCCCGCCATCTCCGCCACCGCCGACCTTTCCGTGGATCAACGCCATTGGTGTTGCTACCGTCCTCGTGGCATCGTTGGGTGTGCTGAAGACCTTTTTCCGCTAAGCCTAGTGTAGTTGAGTGATCCATCCCCAAGGTGAAAACTCTCTTTATTAAGTTGCGGATTGTTGATTAATAGCTTTTGTTATTGCTACTATCTTTGGTTACCTAGGAGTTTTGGCTAATCTACATGTACTTCCTCGCCTAAGCTAGTTGAAAACTAAGATTCTTTGATGAACTTGCTTATTATTTTAATAAGTTATTAATTGGTAATTCATTGTCAACTATTCTTAAAATTTCTTAAATGAGCTCCTGCGCATGTTGGTTTCACATCATAATAAGTGCCATTTTATGCCATCAAATAAACCTGTTGTTTCTGTTTTTTTTTTCAGAGGACTCAAATACAGATGATCAAGGAAATTTTCATGAAAATTTCATAAAGCAATTGCAGAATTATGCAACTCCATTGATATTTATTGGATTATTGCTTTCATCATTGTCTTTTGGCTCGCATGAACAAAGAGAGGTCAGAACTCATTTACCATTTCAAGGAGATGAATTTGAAATATTGAGCTTTCTCTATACTCTGTAATATAATCTCTGTTCTCATATTCAGATTTGGACTTCATTTTTTCATTGATTTAGCTTGTTATATTGATTTTAACTTAAACATAGTGTTTTGTTTTTTAATAACACAGTATTGATTCTGCTACTTTTATTATGCCAATTGCATGCTATAGAACAATGTCGATTATTCTTTTTGGAGTTGCATTACTGGTATCTTTGTAATTCAATTTTGTAGCTTTTTTCAATTATGTAAGTATGCAGTAGTCCCGCTTTTCAACTTCTGCTTCTTGCTTTGCTGGATATGTTAATGGCTTCCACCACTTGCTATGAAGCTGTTCATATAATATTCAATATTATTTTGATTTTTATACCTGATTTATTCTAGTATTGATTATAAAATATTCGGAATTTAGTATTTTGTTTCCGTTATTTCTATTTTATTTTGTTAAATAAGTTCGAAAGTAAATATTTTTTAATGTGCATTTCTTCTAGATTCTGGAGTGAGAAGTTTTGTCCTGGGACGTTAAATAATATTAATGTTAAATCTCGCAGATTAGCTTTCAAGAGTTCAAGATCAAATTGTTAGAACCTGGTTTAGTTGACCACATTGTTGTGTCAAATAAATCCGTTGCAAAAGTTTATGTTAAGAACTCACCACAGGGTATCCATCAAACAAGGGATGATGAGTTTCAAGGCACCACGACAGAGGTACCAAGGCGCAGCAGTAGCCATTATAAGTTTTACTTTAATATTGGAAGTGTAGAATCATTTGAGGAGAAGTTGGAGGAAGCCCAGGAAGCTCTTGGGGTGGACCCTCATGACTATGTTCCTGTAACATACGTCTCTGAAATTAATTGGTTTCAAGAGATGATGAGGTTTGCTCCGACAGCTTTTCTTGTTGGTCTCATCTACCTGCTTGGGCGAAGAATGCAAGGTGGACTTAGCATTGGTGGTGGTTCAGGGCGGGGAAATCGTGGTATATTTAATATTGGAAAAGCTCAGGTGACCAAGTTGGACAAGAATTCCAAAAATAAGGTTAGCTGCTCACTTTTTCAGCCTTAGTTTTTTCATGAAAATATTGAGAGGATCAATGAGAAGTAGGATCTTTACTTTCATCTGGATGAAGGTTAATTTTGCTACTATTTAATATATTGTATTTGTTCTATTGGTTATCTAGTTTGCTCGACTGAAAGAGCCAAGTAGGTCCTCATATCCGAGTTTATTTGTTCCAGATATATTTCAAAGATGTGGCTGGATGCGATGAAGCTAAACAAGAAATCATGGAGTTTGTTCATTTCCTTAAAAACCCAAAGAAGTATGAAGATTTGGGCGCTAAAATTCCCAAAGGCGCACTACTTGTAGGTCCTCCAGGCACAGGTAAGACGCTTCTGGCGAAAGCAACTGCAGGTGAATCAGGTGTACCCTTTTTATCGATCGCAGGATCAGATTTTATGGAGATGTTTGTTGGCGTGGGGCCATCCAGGGTAAGGAGTCTGTTTCAAGAAGCCAGGCAATGTGCTCCAAGTATAATTTTTATTGATGAGATTGATGCAATAGGCCGTGCAAGAGGTCGAGGAGGGTTTTCTGGTTCCAATGATGAACGTGAAAGCACCCTGAACCAGTTGCTTGTGGAGATGGATGGATTTGGGACAACATCAGGAGTTGTGGTTCTTGCAGGAACTAATAGGCCTGATATTTTGGACAAGGCTTTACTTAGACCTGGTAGGTTTGATCGTCAGATTTCTATTGATAAGCCTGATATAAGGGGCCGTGAACAAATTTTCCGTATCTATCTGAAGAAGATCAAACTTGACAATGATCCATCATTTTACTCTGAAAGGCTAGCTGCTCTGACTCCTGGATTTGCGGGTGCTGATATTGCTAATGTTTGTAATGAAGCTGCACTAATTGCTGCAAGAAATGATGACTCAACAGTTACGGTGCAGCATTTTGAGTCTGCCATAGATAGGGTAATTGGTGGTCTGGAGAAAAAGAACAAGGTGAGTAGTTTTTAGATATAAAAGTTTATTCATCTCTCTTCTTTCACCATTTTCTTGCATTTTTAAAATCTGCTGTAATCAGATGACATTTCTTAAATTAAAGCAAATTATAGTTATGGTTTATGTGTTTGATCATTAGTATGAATCAGTAACTTTACACTTGAAAGCCTGCTTATTAGCATTTTGGTCATCACTATTGTCAGGTAATTAGCAAACAAGAGAGGCGAACTGTTGCGTATCACGAGTCAGGTCATGCTGTTACTGGATGGTTTTTGGAGCATGCGGAGCCACTTCTTAAGGTTACAATTGTCCCCAGAGGGACTGCAGCTTTGGGCTTTGCCCAGTATGTGCCTAATGAAAACCTTCTCATGACCGATGAGCAACTTTTCGACATGACATGCATGACACTAGGTGGCCGTGCAGCTGAAGAGGCAAGCAATAATCCTTTTTCTCTTTTCTTTTGAGTATGCTATATCATCTTTTTTATGTTAACTGTGATGCCAACTTACTGAGGCCTGGCATTTGACTTGATGTGTGTTATTACGCCTCTATAAAAATTTTGATTAGGCGTTTTTTCCCTTAAAAAAAAAAAAAAAGTTTTAAACCATTGTAACACCTACTGAATAATTTAATTCCCTTTTAGCTTTGAAAAAAAAGCATCTTGGCTCATTTCTTGATTGAAATAACCTTGACTCTCAAACCAGATATGCACAAAATTAAGCCTTTCATTATCATCCATTTTCTCTCTTCTCCTTTGACCTTATGTAGGCACTATTTATTTATTTGCTGTGTAATTAAAGGGTATGTCTTTGTGAGCTGGAATGTGCTTTTGTTATATGTTTGCTAAGAATAGGTAAGGATCTAAGTTCTCTGTAATGAAAGTATCAGCATATACAAGTGACGTCATCAGTTCATCTCTATCATCATGAAAGATATTTTTTTCATATTTGTGGAAGTTCATCATAAGCAATCGGTTTCCAATGTTTGACCATAAGTCCCAAAGTTTATGTTTCCAGTCATGCAAGAACTACAAAATACCCTTCATGCAAATTTCAGAGGTAAAAATAGCAAACCCTTCTCATACCCTTCAAAGCGCCCTGCAATAGCAATAGTTCCATGCGCTGTATGCGTCCTTTTTAATGATGCAAACAGATCTTCCAAATGGTTGATCTATTATGAGTTGTTACTCGTCTGTAAATACTACTGCTGATCTCTATTATTTACTTTTGTCCTGGTTGTTATGTTGAATTCAGAATTGTTTATAAATCACATTAAATCATGCTAAAATTCTGAAAAGAGAGCAGAGAAATAGGGAGATAATTTTAGATTGAGAAAATAATATTTTCATCAAATGTGCTTGAGTACAAAAAATTGCATCCACTAAACTCACTCTGACATTTTATTTATAGATTTGGGTTGGGGCTTGAGTGTTACAAAATTGATTACTTATATAGCTATGCAAAAAATAAGAGAAAAATATTAGTACTGTGTAGTTAAATTAGAATGTCCAACATGTATATGTCATCCATAGAGCTAATAAAAATTTGCTAGTTTGGAGTGCATAGGTGGACGACTAGCTAAATAACCAATCAACACCGTCTTCTCATATGAAGTAAATCCTCCACTTGAGTAGGCAGTAGAGCCAAGTTGTGATTGGGGCGACTTCATATGTCATAGTCATTTGCTTGGGGTGAGTTTTTTTGTAGATTTGATGAGTTCCTTTTGATCTGAGATCGATTAAACCTAGTTGACTTTACTTGAACCAGGCCAACTTGGCTTTAACCTAGTTTCCTAGGTATTTTGTTGTACATTTAGTTCCCTCGTTCTCTTATGTATTTAGAGGATTATTGCGAAATAATAAGATAATATAAAAAATATTCTTTATAAAACATTCGTTAATATTCTTTAATGTTAGATGTTTGTCAATCAATTTGATTTATACTACTGACAGTGTCTTTTTGTTCATATTAGAAAATATTTAGCCTATAAATATAAGATTGATGTTCTTCTTTCGAATGCTTTTTGTAATTTTCCCTTCACTTCTTGAGCTCTATAATTCCTTAACCCCACAAAGAAGGGAAGTGCCAAAAAATAAAATTAACTTCTCAAAAGATGATGAAAAAGCATGCCAAGTTGAACAAACGTGAGAAAAAGGAACCTCTAAGAATAAGTAGATGAATAAAAGAGTTGAGATATAGGCATTGAATGTGAAGGTCGAGATTGGAGAACTCGCTATATTTAAGCCATTGGCTGACCAACTTTTTTTTCACCCGCAAAGGTTGTTAAAGAATTTGTTTCGTCATTGTCTACTCTCTTACTTGCAAAGATAGAAATTGAGAGTGAAGGTGAAATTGGATTTTTTGAACTTTTTATATATTTAATATGATGGTGATTTCATGTAGTTTTCTTTTTAATGGGCGAGCTTCTCGATGAAATGTCAGTTGTTAACCATCCACAAGAGCAGTGTAAAGATTCGGCCAAGTGGGCCTTATCAATGGATGGATGTTTTCAATCGACTAATGAGATGGTTGTGGTTGAAGTTATCCAGGTGCCTATTGAAGTGCCTATAATTGAAGCTGCCTAAGTGCCTATCGAGCAACAAGCTGTTGAAGGTTCGAGTATCAAAAGGTTACTTAAAGTACTTCTTCAACTCCCTCTTGGACAAAATTTTGCTTGACCTTTTCAAGAAATCTTCATCGAGTTTTATAAGAAATATTCTCTCTTCCAGCTTCTCCCTTGGCCTAATTAGCCTTGTCTGATGCTGAGAAGGATCCCATGACTCCTTCAAATTTCGTAAACCTGATTCTGAAGATTTTAAGAAAAGTAGTTGGGCTAAATACTGATAAATAGAAGATGCTGTATTCAATTCTGAGGGAGTGCTTCTAGAATATTCATTGTGTGATTTCCAGCTCACCAAGAGAATTATTTGAAGTAGCTCTTTTGAAGAAAGTTGAATTATTTTTTAAAGTCAGTCAATGAAAGATGTGTATTTCTACAATGAAGGATGAATACAAATGGAGATGTCCGACTTCAATAAACAGATTTCTGAGATGAAAGTATCATTTTTTTGAAGTCACTAACTCTTTTTGGCAAGAAGTTGGTGCTCTTAGAGCTAAGGTCACTGTTAGTTGAAAATACATAGAGTTTACCAAGTCATCTAAATTCCTGGTTGTTGTCGACTTTGTGCTGAAGTGGCGTATTAATAGTGGAAAAATATTTAGAGAAGTCGATCTTGGACAAAATTTTGTTTGACCTTTTCAAAAAATCTTCATCATGTTTTATAAATAATATTCTTTCTCTTCTAGCTTCTCCCTTGGCCGAATTAACATTGTCAGATGCAGAGAAGGATCCCATGACTCCAAATTTTGTAAACCTGATTCTAGAAATTTTAAGAAAAGTACTTGGGCCGAATGTTGATAAATAGAAGATGCCGTCTTCAATTCTGAGGGAGTGCTTCTAGAATGTTCATAGTGTGATTTCCAACTCACCAAGAGAACTATTTGAAGTAGCTCTTTTGAAGAAAGTTGAATTATTTTTTGAAGTCTGTCAATGGAAGATGTCTATTTCTACCAGGAAGGATGAGTACAAAATGGAGATGTCCGACTTCAATAAATAAATTTTCTGAGATGAAAGTAATTTTTTTTTAAGCCACTAACTCTTTTTGACAAGAAGTTGCTGCTCTTAGAACTAAGGTCATCGTTAGTTGAAGGCACATGGAGTTTACCAAGTCAACTCAGTTCCTGGCTGTTGTCGAGTTTATCCTGAATAGTTGAAATGACTTATTAATAGTGGAAAGATATCTTGAGAAGTTGATGTTGATCCATATTTGTACTTCTTCTCTTGTTCTCAGGATAGTTGAAATGAGTTAGTAATAGCGGAAAGATATCTTAAGAAGTTGATGTTGATCCATATTTGCAATTCTTCTCTTGTTCTTTTTTGTCTTTGGAAGGGATGGCTTTAAGTTGCCCAAATTAAAGTTGAACGGTGAATATAATTCTAATTTAGGGGCTGTTTGGTATGCAAAATTAGGAGGGTAAAGTAATTTACTTACACGCATTTAGTAAATTAAGTCGTTTGGTTGCTTTTGAGCGGAACGTAAGTAATTCCTCCGAAGCATCAGCGTTGTATTGCGACGGGCCATTCGTGCGACTTTGAAACCCGCTCAAATTGAGCGGGTTAGAAATCCTCTCGCGCGAAATGATGGGAACCAGCCTCGCACGATTCCTTCTTCTCCGTTCTTCCCACGTGCTCCGCGCTCTTCTCATTTTGCACACTCCAAGCAGATATCCCCAACTAAAGCTCTCTCCCTCTCTCAAAACCGAAGCCTTCTCTCCCAGCTCCCACTATTACTTCAACCTCTTGGCTCACAGGTTGAACGAAGTTGATGTGCATGACCACAAGCAAGCAAAATAGCGAAACGACGATGACGAGGTAGATGTACTCGAGCACCATCCGGATCCTCGGCGTGAGGAGCTGGGAGAGCATCCTCGAGAGCCACGCGTGAACGCAGAGGAAGGTCTGTTCCGGATCCATCTCCGCCTCTTAAACCCTAGAATCCCAATATTTCCCCCTTCCACCCCACTTTCATTTCCAACACAAACCAAACCCTACTTAGATGAAGTGGGTCAATTCGCTCAGGGAAAGGATGCCGAACGGTCAGCCCAAGTTAGTGTCCCGACTTTGGCCGTTCTGTGCGGGGACGAGACTGTAGATTTTGATGTCAATGCTGGAGCGGAAGTTGTGTTTGGAATGGATTTACAAGGTGCTAAAGACCCCAATTGCAGGTGTATAAAATTCCCTATGGCTTGCACTTATGATCGTAAAGCTACAGGTGTGGGCACTCCAAGTGTTTGTGCAAGTGCCTCAAAGGCTGCAGAAAATGCTCCTTTCTTTGCTCCTTTCTCTTTTGATTGTACTTATGTAACTTGAAATAAGGTGTTATGTCTTCTGAACTAATACTAGCATTTTTTTAATCCATTTGAACTAATGAGGAAAATATCTTTTGCAATCATAACCTGAAATAAGCTCAAGATAAATCATGCGTTTTTATTTCATATTTCTTTTAATGCAGCTGTAAACAAAGATGAGCTATTGCAAATGGTAAGATTTGGTGTAAACTGAGCGTCTCGAGAATACGAACTCAACGATATCAAATCCAATCCGTTCCGAGCCCAAACAGGTCAAAATGAAGGGTTAGAAGCGATGTTGGACGGCTCAAACCACAATTTGGATTACCAAACGGTTTCCAAACATAACATAGTAATAGTAGAATTGAGCGGCTCGACGAGACGAATCCAATGAGCCCAAAAAATAAGAATTTTATGCTCAATCTCTTTCCCCAAAATTTATATTTTAAAAATAAGAATTTTATGCTCAATTTCTTTCCCTGAAATCAAATGGAAATTTTATATTTTTAATTCCTCACAATCCAC